CCCAACCCTCCTTCCCCCAGTAATTTTTATACAGCAAAAAAGCTTTTATATCTTATACATGAATAATGACTTTGAGAATGAGTTTTCCACTATATATATATATTTTTTTTACACAGTTTATTAGAGGTAATTAAGGTACACAGACCTCCGTCAGACACTTCAGCTGGGATTTGTACCCACTTAGTTCTTCTGTTAGGCCCTCCTTTTTCATCTGCAGATCACTTAGCTCTTTTCTTAACGAATGGACTACTTCATAAAATCGGATCTAGAAGAACAAGACATACATTCAAAACTGAGACTAGCAAAACTGCAATCCCAAAACATATCAGCTCAACATTTTATGCCAATAATTCATCAAATGATTTCTAGCGCATACTAGGAATGTGGTTGGGGCTGGGGGAGTGGGAGTGGGGAAATGTTAGAACAAGAACAGTGTCTTTCTTCTGCCTTTGACAGCAGCAGCAAAGAAATAATCAGTTTGTGTTTGGCACTGAATAAAAAAAGGAGAAATAAAGGTAAAGATATACATTTCTGTTCAACTAAGGCAGCTCCCTGTCAGGTTGCCCGATTAAAAAAATCCAGCTGCTAATGGACCATGTGGTCCCACCCTCTTACTTGTGCCAACTCTGCAGCCTATTTGATGAACAGTGTAAAAAGAAAAGAAAAAAAAAGGCAAGCCTATTTAGCAATAAACCAACTTAACCTGCTATCATCCCCCAGGCTAATATAAATTTTTATGGGGTGTGTAGAAATGGAGAGAGATTAGTTTTGTTTTCTGCCAGTTCAGTGTGCTGAATCTGCACCCAGAAAAACGCAAGAGCAAGCACAGGGAACAGGAGCAGCACATAACCAGGGAGAACTCTGACACCCCGTCGCTGCCCCCCTCCCCGCTTTCAGCAGTAACATGTCGCTATACGGGTTCAACTGCATCACGCAACTAAGCCTCTCAAGACTCTACTCTGCCAAATTAACGTTGAAAAAAAAGCCTTGTAAAAGGATTAAAAAAAAAAAAAATATCCATAGCACATACTCCTCTCTTCCCCTACTCCAGTCATAGGCATAGTCTCAGACAAATTAAATCTCAGATTCATAAAACTTCTTCAGAACATTTCTACTGAACAAGAAAAAACAGTAGAAAACACAGTAGTAAAACCACAAAGTCAGTAGTTTAAAAAAAGAAAAAAAAAGAAAAAAGACACAAAACAAAGAAGAAAGCTTTTTTGATATACACCCACACACACGTACACAGAGGTTATTACTCCCAGATTAACTTGATACTTTAAAATGTTTGTTTTGGGGGATGAAAAGAAAAGAATATATAATTAAGTACTATTTTCATGCAAAAGCTACTCCATACCCCCCCATCATTAATGGTTTGTTTGATATACGATTAAAGAAGAAATACAAGCAAGAAAGCACAGCTCAAGTAAGCATTCAAGAGCAAGCTGTACTACATTTCCATGCAGAAGGAAGACAGGTCTCTGTTTTGCTACCTGTAAATAGCAGAAGACAAAGGAAAGTTCCACGTATATTCCATATAACTGACAGCATACAATTCTAAAAAACACAGAAGCCATGGAAATTTGCAATGTGAACATAGGTGTAGTTTGCTTTATACAATAAAGCAAGTGTGCAACATGATTGGAAGATTAGCAGTAAGGCAGAAAAGAGAAATTTTCTAAAAAGCAGTGTGTTTCTTTGGTTTTTGTTTTCAAGTTTTTCCAAATACTGTGCTTGTTGAGAGTTGAAGTTGTTTGAATTTGCTGTACTCAACAAGAGAGCTCCACTTTTCATCCTTACCTTAGATGCAAACCAAACATAAGCCAAAATAGGACATATGCTATAAATTTAAAGTTATTTTTAATGAAAAAAAGGTAAGCTTTCTCAAAATACAGTTGCTATTTTAGATTTTTTAAGATGGTAACAAAGGATTCTTAATTAGTTATGTCTCAGTTTACACACAAAATGAATAAAATTAAGGATGTTTTTTAAAACTGCAAGTCAAACTCAAAATAAGGTATGATAATTTTTTTGTTCATGCTGTGAAAGTTCCAAATGAAAAACTGAACCATCAGATGCTACAGTTAAAACTATAAGCTGTCTTTCTATTCTGGGAAGTGAACTAACTGCATATTATTGCCTTATTTTACTGCTTCATTACTATTTTTTTTCCTGCAGTATTTTATTCCTTCAATATTTAAGGAGTTTTTTTCATGTCCATTTGTGAAATCACATTGGTTCTAATAGGTTTGCATGCAAGCAAACAGTGAAGTTAGTTTTTTGGGTTCTTTCTAACTTCTGAACTGCAATAGGCTTCAACTACTTCCGGGGGGGGCGGGGAACAAACAAAAAAATCTTTAGAAACGTGCATGCAAAGCAGTAAGTACAATTTTAGTCTCTTAACTACAGCTTCCACTGACTACAGTTTCCATCTATCTGGATTCTTTAAGAACTTGTCTGATTACATCCAAAACTGAGCAACTGAATTTCAATCAAATCCTCTTTTCCCCCAACAAAAAAGTGATTACAAATTATTTTTTTTTTCTTTCTTAAAAAATAAGCTGGATTGTCACGAATTGGTAACCATTTAAAGCACTGTGGGGTTTTTTAAACTACACCTAGCTTTTCCCTTAAGTCCTTGTATTTTTACTTCAATTTCCTGAGGAAACCTAACTTAGGCCATCACACCACATTTACTTCCCAAACCACAACAACCCTAAAACAGATTACCCAGTGTCAAACCAAGATGACATGGGATACAAGTATCAAGAATAAACGTGTCTGCACAGCCTTCTTAAGAAAAGATCAATCCCTGGTAAAAAGAAAGTGCAAATGAATGCAGCAGATGAGGGGAAGGTTGTAGCAGAAGTTCAGCTGTTATTGTTATTTAGCTGGCTTGATGGCCAATAACCATACACATTGCTTCTAGCCAAGTCAATACAGCAGAAACAAAAATTACTGTAATGGGATTTCAGAAACAACTGCATATCTTAAAAATTATATATAGATGTGCTGTAAGGGAAAAGTTAACACTTTCTGGGCAATTTAAAAAAAAAACTCTTAGCATGTGCCCACCACTTTTTATGGAAAAGTAGAGTTAAGATAAAAATGGGTGGGTGCAGAGGATGAGAAAGTTGGCTTCTGTTAAATGAAGTTACGTGAAAGTAGTTGCATCAGTTAACTGCCTTCTTAAACAAAGAGCAACTGAGCTGTAGTTAGCAAAATGATGTAACTGAAAGCCACAGCGACTAAAATCTGATCAAACAGAATTCGCAGATACCATTTTTAAACAACTTGGTGAAAAATTTTTACAGGACAGTACACAAAAGGCTCACTTTACCAAACAAATTAAATGATTCAGCTGCTAAGCACCACCTCAACAACCTGCTTAATGCTTTAAAATTTTGCATATACTGTTTCTAAAAAAATCATTCTTATAAATGGTTAAGAAAAATAACCAAAATTTTTACATATACTTCAAAACAAAAAAGCGTGATTTTAAGAGAAAGACACTTAAAACATCATTTCTCATTTGTCATCATCATTAACATTAAACATTGCCTAGTCTTTGTTCTAACACATTACTATTGCACCCCTTTGTGGAAGAACAGTGAAAAACATCTCCCATTTGTTTTAATTCTAGTATTTTAAAGTTGCAATATCTCTATATACTAAATCTGTATTTAAGCACTTGCAGCTGCTTGTCCAGTATAACAGGTTTCAAATAACGTGCAAGTATTATACATACATTTACTTCTATCCTGGAGAATTGTAAGGCAGTATTTTATAATTTATAAATAGAAAAAAAAGAGTCCAGAAATTTCTTGCTCAAGTTTTCTCTAAGCAGAACTCTTTCTTGCCAAGGAGAATTTTACCCTAATATCAGTAGACTACACTATTAATCTGCACATAGATCTGGAGTCAGAGATTTTATCTGCTTGAGAAACGCACAATTCCTCCTTAGCTAAGCAAAGCAGGAAACAGCATCAAAAAATTACTTTTTCCCTTCAACATCCTTTTCCTAGCCTTCAGAAGCCAAATGGATGCACAAACAGGATATGCAAAACAGTTCTGTAGCCTCCCAGCATCTGTATCAGCTGAATAACTCAAAATAACAATAAATAATCACTGAGCCTAACTGATACTCTCAGGTTCACACTGATCCTGTTCCCAAAAGAAGTTGAGAGAAGCAGCAGAAAACAGGATCTTACTACAGTATATCTTTAGAATGTCTTCTCCAGAAAAAAAAAAATTAAATTAATTTGGCCAAAAAAGGACTTCTTCAAAAGAAAAAAGTGACATGTGTAAAGAGGAAAGGGACTTCACTGAACACATAAGCAGTGGAGTTTCAATCACAGATAAAATTAGCATTTACTGGTTGAACGCACCAGTGTGATGGCTGTTACTCACCACTGCTGCTTCACATCTTTTTCAGAGACCTTTTCTACTCACAAATACAATCTAAGCACTCTAATTGTGCTGTGACAGCTTCACTTAAAGCAGCAAACAAGGTTATTAACTCCTGGTATCTGTCCTGTCTGGCTACACAGTCTTTTGTACTGACTGTCAATGAACTCCTGAAGTCCTGGATCTTCCTGGACACCAATTTGAAGCAGCTGACATGCATTCCAGTTCATGTTTAAAATCTGCTTTTTTGACCACGGTGGTGCAGGAATAAACAAAAACCCCTCAAATACTTCTCCAGAGGGCACTAGGTACAGAAGACAGCTAGGAAGTAATAATCTACTAGGCCTCAAGCTAAGTGTTCTTGTTTATTACTCAGAGCCTTAAGATTTTCCTAGTACTTTCTAAAAGTCCAAGTTTTAGAACTTTTAAAAAGATGTTCCCAAGAACATCCCTTAGACAAGAATGACGAGTTTTACTTCTCTGTACATATCTAGAGCACAGTATACTGTGACTGTCATCTAGCAAAAGAACTCATTTATGCAGCACTTACACCTCAACAAAGACACTAAGCTTTTTCACATTACATTATTTACAGCTTCCTTAATAACTAGCTCTATAGATAAGTAGAATGCTAATACTTTGGTGAATTCAGGTTTACATGTCTAAATCCTCTTAATTCTCAGAAGTGAGCCAGGATGCTCTGGACATGTCCCACAGTCTGTGAAGGCATTGTCTTTTTATTGCAAGCAGAGTACCCCCCTGCCCCTCCATCTACCCATAAACCACAATTAACAAACTTCTTAAATCAAGAAAACAAGTCTTAAAGTATACTTTAAGGTACACTTTATCTCCTGCATTTATTCAGATAGGAAAGGGCCAGCATAAGGGAAAGGTAAGAGATGTTTGCAAGAGCCATCTCAACTTGTGGTTCTGGCAAGCTGAGTTTCAAATTCCTACTTTCAGCCTGCTGTATTTTGTATCATCAATGTGTGCCCACCATTTAATTATAACACCCCATCTGCTTAACCTTCTTAAAATACATCAGCAGTTCTGCTCTCTTTAAGACATCAGAGTCTGAGATTAAAAGGTTCCCCTCTTTACTGGAATTCAGTCATAACGGACTGATCCAGAAGCACGTCTGCCTTTGAAGGTCCTTCATTTTCCATTGGGGAAGAATAAGAATTCTAGGAATATAAACTGGCTTCTACTATATGCACATCCCTTTAATTCTAAACAAAAGCAATTTACAGCTTGTGGTGGGTTGACCCTGGCCAGAAGCCAAGCACTTATATGGCTGCTCAGTCACTTGCTGCTTCCAGTGGGAGCAGGACAAAGGAGAGAACAGGAAAAATAAAAGCAAGAACACTCAGGTGTCAAGTTTTCTCAACAGTTTCATTAGTGAAGAAAAGAGAGGTGAATTTTAAAAATTAAAAAAAAAAAAAAAAGCCATACAAAGACAATCACTCACCACCTCCCACAAGCAGACAGATGCCCAGCCAGCCTCTGAGCATTAACTAGCTTGGAAGCCACCTCTCCACCTCCTCTTTCTTCCTCTACCCCCAGTTTATATTGTTGAGCATGACATTAGACGGTATGGAATATTCCTTTGGCCAATTCAGGTCAGCTGTCCAGCTGTGTCCCCTCTCAATCCAATGACTACCCGTAACTCACTGGGGACAGGGGGAGGCACAGTGGGGAAGAGTAAGCCTTGATACTGTGCAAGCACTGTCCAGCAGTAGTCACAACTCTGGTGTGTTACCAGTGCTGGTTTAGCCACAAATCCAAAACACAGCAAGATTCAGGCTGCTATGAAGAAAGTTAACTCCATCCCAGCCAGACTCAGGACACAGGTGTATTTTAAACCAATACAAAACACAATACTCACAGAAACATATTCAGGGATAGAAAGCTGGTCTTCAGGAAGAGACTTCAGCTTCTCATAGCAATCATCTGTTAATTCCAGATCTCGTAAGCTACGACGGATATCTCCAGCTCTCTGCCTTAATTGATGATTCGTTTCCTCCAGTTGCTTCTGTCTCAATAAAATAGTTTCCATTTCTTGTTTCATTAGAGCCTGATGTTTTCTTCAAGATTGATTTGAAAACAGATGTTAAGTAGTGAGTAACACAAGTGACAAACTTTCACAATACCCTGGCAAGGGAATGAGTTATGCTCGTTTTGTAGAGGGGAAAATTTACAGAGATATTAGGTAATTAGCACATGAGCGTGTACCACCATGGTTACACAATCATATCAGACACAGTATACATAAAAAGCCAGGAACTTCATAGTCATTGACAATACAAAGCCGAATCAGATAAGTGACAATTAATCCCCACATATGCTGACTTGGATTTATCAATTAGTCTTAATTTACCAATTAAAAGGTTAAAAACATGAAAAAGCGGAATATAATTCCACACAAAAACTAAGGAACTAGTAAATCACCAATAATAGCATTATTAACTTCAATTTGTGTCTTGCCAAGTTTCAGCATATACATACTGTGGTCTATTCCACATACAACCCTTCATTTTCTACCCAGTGTAACATCTAAAGGTGAGGTCCTTAAAAAAACCAAACCAAAACACCACTACACTTAAACAAGCAACTTTACTTACAGCCTTAAAACACTATCATTTCCATTATCACCAGCGACAAGGTATTATATGGCAAGAGAAACTGCACATCACTTCGAGATGTTTCAAAGTGTTATTTTATTTAAATCAAATGTGACTGATCTACTTTTTTGGAGGTCTTAGCTGTTAACTCTTGAAAACATATTCAAATGAAATCATTCTTCAAAATGTAATAATTTCTACATTATTAAAAAAGTAATAATAAAATTACTAGCTCTGCTAGTAAATGGGGATAAAAAGTGAGGTAACAGACAGACAAGCAAAATAATGAAAAGACTGGGGAAAGGAAAGTAGTTTAACCTTTTTAATGTCCATTAATACATTTTGCATATTAGTGCTTTTTTGCTGAGCACTCCTCAGATAACTCAAGTATAGCCAACATAAAAATATTCTACCCTGGTGCAAATAAGCATACAGAATGAGAGACATTTTCCTGACAGTGTAGCTGCTATTAGTTGAAAGACTTTGCTATAACTAATCTCAGGTCTGGCTTCACATCCCTAGATCTGTTCCAGGCTTACTACAGAACATGACTTTGAATTAGTCACATCCTGTAAGCTTCTACATCCTCTACTGTAATATGAGAATATTAAGTAATGCTCTTCCTTCACAGTCCTATTACAGGTGTTAAAATATTTAATTGAGGAAGCAATTTGAAGAAGCCTGCTAGCCTGTCTGTTTTCAGCTGTAAGTTAATTCAAAATGTTTCAGAAAAACAAGGCAAACAGTAAGTTTCTACATCATCAACCAAAAGCATTTCTGACCAATAAGGAATCCTAACTGGATGTGCTAAACATTATCCCCTTACCTTTCCCAAGTCATGCAGGCTGCAGAGTTATTAAAAATTCACTTTAAATTGATGGAAAGTCTTCCCCCTCTACCTACTCCTTTTGCCCTTTACAGGTTTTAAGAACACTCTTACTCCAAGTTCCTATTAAATTTTGAATCCAGGTAACAATAAAACCAAATCCACAAACTTCAGCAAGTGAGAGCTTATTTCACATTTACTTATATGTAAATTGAATATGTAAATTCCATTTTTAGAATGGAAATACTAACATAATCTGCAAAAGAAATCCTATTCTTGCAATTCATAATTATCACTTCCCATTAACTGTCCATGAATTAATCTGAATTCATATTAAGTTTTAAAGACAAAGGTTTTTTGTTCTACTTCCATCATACCTAGCATCTTCTTGCTGTAATGCCAGCTGACTATCCAGTCGTAAAGACAACAGCTGCTTTTGATGGATTGCATCATTAAGCTTCTCTTCCAGCTCTTCAATCTAAATATAACAAATATAAATATAAAATGAAGAAAAGAAGTTACTCTGGTCATTTTTAAAACATATTTGACAAAAAGAACAACTTAAAAGAAAAAAATCGGAGAGCCCAATGTGCTGGGAAGTACAATAATGACTGTCTAATAAGACCTCTAAATACGCTAAGGCTTCATAAAATACATTATGGATTTTTGCCCTAATGAACTAGAATTAAAAAAGACTTCGTTCTACAATTGATTCTTTTCAGCCAAATAGCTACTTGTTCAGCTGGTTTCAAACTAAGTTTAAACTCAAGGCAGTAAGCCAGTGAAAGCCACCATTAGTATACAGTAAGTTGTAAATATTGACTGCACACAAAGATGGCAAAGTTTTTACACCTTTCATAGTTTCATGCATCTTAGTGGAAACTGTACACAACAAAATCTACTACTATTAGCATGCTGGTATATTCTAGCCACATCTTCATTAATAGATCACTGAATAGCATTCAGATGACTTTCTAGTATTCCACAAGTTCAGGTTAAAAACTAAGTTGCTTACATTGGTGACAAAATTAATCATTCTTTCTGAAAGAATACAGATATTTTCACTTTGTTTTTAGGAAATGAAAAACTAATTCGATCCCCTTCATTCATTTAGAATTATAACGCATTGGACAAATCAGTTAAGTTTTATGTATCTTTGTTTCCTCCTTCTCTCATTAAAAAAAAAAGCAAAGTAGGCTTCCAGTATGCAATTCACAGAAATTCTTTTCAGAATGAAAGTTTTCTATCATACCCTAAAAGCACCAGAAACAAGAAAAGATTATATGACAAGAGAAGCAACATTTCTTACCTTGGTCAAATATTCTACTTTCAAGTTGTCTATCATCAAGTTTTTCTGAGATAATTCTATTTTAAGCAGCTGAAGATTATGGAGCAACTCTTTCCGTTCAATCAGCTGCTTAGTGATTTTGACAGTACCGTCTCTCTCTTCAGAGGAAGAAACATCATCAGTTGGTATTGTGGTTTCTAAGCTAATATCTTCAGACTCCAATGAGCTAGAAATGTTTACTTTCCTGATTTCTTTAGAGCTTTTATGTGACATTTTTTTTCACTATTTGCAAAGCTTTTTAAAGTTATACTTCAAGATGAGCCCCTTGAAGAATCAGCTGCAAAAATCAAAACAATTAAGTGAAAGGCCTTATGAAAAATTAACCAGTTAAACAAGACCACTAAGCAATACTACTCAGCATCACATGTATGTATCTTTTTGTTCATCCAAGAAAAACATTTTAAGAATCTCTGAAGAGGGCAGTTGCCTGAGAACTCTCTTCCTAAATAATTATTAATAAGGGTTTTGAGTGCTATAAGCTAAATACTGGTGTGAATCAAGCTTACTAGTAAGATGTTATAGATAAATCAAGGTATGCATCTTGCATTCACACTGTCAGAAGACCATGCTCTGAATACGTCTGAGACCCATGAGGCACACAGTGTCATAGAATATCCAATAAGGGGCACAACAAGACTTGCTGGAGAAAACGGTAAAGCAATACTTTGATGGCCACCTGTGTCTTCCCTGAAGAAGTAGCTCCATTGTTCTTACGAGGCAAACTTACTTAAGTCACAGATACTTTTACAATCACTTGGTATAGACCACAGCTTTTACTTAAGAGATGCACAGGCTAATGCATGCTGTTCAAAGCCCTACAGGGAAACGGGATGCTGCACCCGGAGCCCAGGCCAGCGCCAGCCGGGC